CTGTTTTTACCTATACAAAGTACAGCCATGAGTGACCGAGTGTGTTCAGCATCCTTATCGAAGCCTGCCTGCACAGAACACCTAGGGCACCTGGGGCACCTCTGGGCAGCTCTGCTGATTCCCAATCTGGTGACTGGTTCTTGTTTCCTGTTGTGCGATTTCCTGGTACCAGTTTGAGGTATGTCCCGTTTGTGGCTTTCTTGACATTTACCTCCAGCTTACTACTGGTCATTTCCTCTCATCCCTCCTTCCCAGTGCCTCCGTTTCTCTGGATGTCTTCTGTGTATTTTCGTTTGCCATACCCTGGTGTTACACACTCAACATATTTGTTATCCCGTGGCCACTGGGCATTCTTGTTCTGCCTCAAAATAGTGTCACTCTTTCTCCAGGTAAATGACTCAGATCTCAGAGTGGCTTTGCCTCCTCCCACCCCTCTGCGGCTCTCTTCCACTGAGTTGTCTTCAGCAGCCGATTCTGCTGTGTGCAGTCACGGATACCACACTTCCTCAGCTCCATATTCATTCAAATCCTGCCATCCGTCTCTCACTTGAGCTATCTAAATTGCTGATGCATGGACCTGTGCATCTATTCAAACCAGGGCCTCACACACCTCAATTACATCTTTGTTTTCTCCTTTCCTTCCCTCTTCATTTTCTTACTGTTATTAATATTGTTATTCTTTTTTAAAAAATGCTGCAAGATCCCCGCGGCAGTAGGCAGCAGAAATGCTGTAGGTCCCAAATGGTGGTAGCGGGCCATGTGGTAGCAGGCAGCGGGCTCTGGGAGCAGCCAGTCCCAGGCAGAAATGGCTGCCGGTCCCAGAGCGGTGGCCTGAGCGGTGGTGGTGGGTCATGTGGCCCAGACAGCGGGCCCTGGGAGCAGCCAGTCCCAGGCAGAGACGGCTGCTGGTCTCAGAGCGGTGGTGGCAGGCCATGTGGCGGCAGACAGCGGGCCCTGGGAGCAGCAGGCAGTGGGCCCCAGGCAGAGATGGCTGCTGGTCCCCAAGCAGTGGCTGGTCCCAGGCAGGGAGACACATGGCGGGAGGGCAGAAGACAGAAACATGGATAGATACGACATGCAGGGTGAGGTTAAATGTTTATTCAGGGGGTTATGGAGGAGGAAGGGTAAAGGGGGAGACAGAGAGAGNGGGAGAGAGAGAGAGAGAGAGAGAGAGAGAGAGAGAGAGAGAGAGAGAGAGAGAAGAGGAGAAAGAGACAGAGAAGGGAAAAAGCAGAGAAGTGGGGAGAGAGGCAGAAGCGAAGCTGCCTCTCCAAGAGGAAGATGGAAAAGAGTGAGCTCAGGCCAGAAGCTGGAGATCAGCCTGCCTCAGTGGATGGGGGAGGGAGCGGAGTGGGAGTGGGCATGGCTTGTCTCTTAAAGGGACCAAAACCATAACAAATATCATTATTATTATTATTTTGATTTTTCAAGACAGGGTTTCTCTGTGTAACAGCTCTGGCTGTCTTGGAACTCGCTTTGTAGACCAGGCTGGCCTCGACCTCACTGAGATCCACCTGCCTCTGCCTCCTGAGTGCTGGGGTTAAAGACGTGAGAGCCACCACCGCCCGACTCCTTTATGTATGCAGGGTATCTCTGTGGCACACAGGCTGGCTTCAAGCTTGCTCTGCAGCTCAGGCTGCCCTTGAATTTGTGATCCTTTGCCTGAACTTCCCATGTATTAGAATTCCAGGCCTGTTCCATGCCTAGCTTCTGAATTGCAAAGTTAACAAACCTTTAGAATCTTTTCCTGACACCTCAAGCATCCCCCACACTTCCCCTGGGAGGATCTTTGTAAGGTGTTAATGTTGCTCCTGTCTCAGTACAGTCCTGCCTTGCTCAGGGGTAAAGCCGTTCTAGAAAACTGTTAGGTGTGTGGCCCACGGAGCACAATGTTTAGCCCCCAACTGCCTTTCCAGCCTCCTTCATTTTTCTTACTAGTGTTCCCTTTCTTCCAAGGTACACGCAGAGTTTCCTCATTGGCCTCCCTTGCTGGCACCTCTGTTGTTAGCTGTCTCCTTATAGTTCTAGCGTGGCTTCTTCATTATACCTGCCTGATGGGCATATTGGCACATCTGTGACTGAGAGATAGAGTGACAGATGATGATCTGACATTAGTGTGTACCCACATGCCTGCACTCCCACGTACATGTATGCCTATTTATACACATACATGCAATGCCCCCCACAGACATATATACATTCAGTCACCTTGTCTTATACTCTTGCTTCATGAATGTTTCCTTTACACACAGCCTCAAAGAGGCTGGTGATGCAGCATGACACACAGGACATGCCTGTACACAGCCCTAGTTATCTTCTGAAGGACAGGACAAACAGGGCCACACTGGAGCTACTCACTGCCTCTAATAACACGTACGAAGCATGATAACACCTTTATCACGGGACTCAGTAAAACTGCAGGCATACGGACATGACTCCTGTTTCTGGTCCTCAACCAAGAATTCTTGGTCTGAACCAAGAATGGGAAATTCCTACTGAATGACCACTTGGCTATATAAATCAATTCTCTGATAAGCACTCTAAAGGAGGCAGTGTGAGAATACATCTGTGATGGCTAGCAGAAGATCCTAGCGGCAGTGGGCACACATCTGTGCCGGCTAGCAGAAGATCCTAGCGGCAGTGGGCACACATCTGTGCCGGCTAGCAGAAGATCCTAGCGGCAGTGGGCACACATCTGTGCTGGCTAGCAGAAGATCCTAGCGGCAGTGGGCACACATCTGTGC